TGTTTTCATTGGGAACCACCGTGATTCCTTCTTTTTTCGGCACTACCTGTACTAGACTCACCCAATGACTGTCTGATATGGGGTAGATGTCCATGCATCTAGAAACTTTAATACTTCTTTCCTTACCACTTCCTGCAGAGTCGAATTTAATCTACGTTGATGCTCAATTGAAATTTTGTAATCGTCTTCCATCAATATCTTATGCATGAAAATTGAAGGGCTGATCTCTTTTATATCCGATATCGTCCGTCCTATTGCTGTCTTATGCTCTCGAAGCACCCTCAGCAACTAATCCTCCTCCGATTCTATAAGATTGTTCGAGATAATTACTGGAAGTGAATTCTTTTCCCCCAAATATGCATAACGAAGATGAGTGGGCATTTGTTTGAGTTCAAGAGCTGGAGCTTTCTGTGTTGTGAGTCTTTCACCGAACTCCAAACGTGGTTGCTTGAAAAATAGTAGTATGGTTGCCAAATAACGTGCACATTCTTCTGCTTCCTCCTTTTCTGATGATAAATCCTGAGAATGCACTAAACACGCTTCAAGCGGATCTTGAGGGTGATCCAGTTTGATTGTCTCTGACACCGCATCTTTTATTACATCAATCAGTATGCAAGAATTCGGTTCGCTCTGAAATCTAAAAGCTCTAAACACGTTGATTGTCAATTCTTCTTCATTTAACCTCAATATCAACTGACCCTTTTGCACATCATCAGAGCCTTTTACGTAGCCAAAAATGGGCGACCCAATATGAGGGGGACGTCCCTATCTTCCTCCATATCCAAAATAATAAAGTCCGCTGGGGAGATAAACTTGTCAACCTTCACCAAAATATCTTCACAAATACCTCGAGGTTGCTTGATCGACCTGTCAGCCAACTGCAGTGAGACTGTAGTCGATTTTGCTTCCCCTAAATTTAATTTTCTAAAAAGAGATAAAGGCATTAAATTAATGCTAGCTCCTAAATCACACAATGCTTTATCTATATATAAATTACCAATGTTATAAGGAATAGTAAAACTCTCTGGATCTTTTAACTTCGATGGTAATTTGTGTTGAAGAATTTCGCTACACTCCTCAGTAAGCATGACTGTTTCATTGTCCTCTAGCTTTCTCTTATTTGATAGAATATCTTTCATGAACTTGGCGTAACTGGGCATTTGAGCTAAAGTTTCAACAAATGGTATGTTAATGTGCAGCTTCTTGAACACATCCAAAAATTTCTGGAATTGCTTGTCGAGCTTATGTTTTTGCAATCTCTGTGGAAATGGGATTGG